TTTTTTTTTCTTTTTTTCTTTTTTGCTAGGCTTGGAACCCAGAGCCTGGAACAGATCAAGCCTGTACTCCACTCCAACACTCAGCTTTTTGCGTTGAACATGGCAGCAATGCAGTAGCAAGCACACGCACGCACACACACACCAGCATTGTGAGGTCCTTGGCCATCCCTAAGAGCACAGTGGAATTGAGAGACCACCTGCCTGACTCACAGCACTCACATAATTCCTAAAATCTAAAACTTTTGGTAACTGAGCAAGGCATTCCTTTCAAGCAAACTCAGCTCCAAGAGAACACCTCCAAGTGCACTATAAAAGGCTTCTTCGCTTTTGTCTTTAACTCTGGAGAGAGTACATTTCTTTTTCTTGTGAGATCCTGTTCTGAAACAACACAGGCCATGCATTTCCAGCATGGGCCCCCGGGGCCAGGGGCCGAGGGTGGAGCACCAGTCTGGCCCCCACTGTGCAGCACCTGACACCACCTCTTCACCTGTACAATGGGCCACCTGGGAGCTTACCCCAGAAATCTACAGTGAGGAGGGAGCGAATGGCACATAGTAGTTGAGCATTAAAAAGTATTAAGAAAAACAAGTATTAGGGATTCTTATTCTGGTTTTTTTCACAGAACTGTTTCAGCTCTCTTGGTTTTCCTTTTCTCTTAAAGATTATGCCAAGTTAACAGGGTAAAGGTAGCATTCATACTTCATAATGCTGTATTCTGCAAAAAACCAAAGAGGTAAGATTTTGTGTGGTACATAGTAGCTGGGGAAAGTGAAGCTCAGCATGGAGGCGGGCCACAAGCCAGTGACACCATAGGATGCAAACTCAGGTCTCCTGGACCCCAGAGTCACTCACCATTCTGTTTTCCGCATCTACCCCGCAGGCAGGCAGAAACTGAGGTGGATAGTAATGAGGTAGGGCTAGGAGTTCCCCAAAGTCAAGAGTTAAACTGGGCGTGGTGGTGCAGCCCTGTGATCCTACCACTGAGACACAGAGTCAAGAGGATCATTGAGTTCAAGGCCACGTTGAGTTTAAAACCAGCCTGAACTACATAGTAAGATCCTGTCTCACAAAGGTAGGGAAATGAGAAGGTCAGGAGCTACAGCCTCCTCGTTTCCTGTAATTTCAGGTGTCCTGCTGCTGTCTGCTAAAGGAATAAAGAAACGCAGACCCAAGAAGTGAGCTTGGAATCCAACTTACTAGATGACCTTGATGTCCTCCTGATTGTTGTGATCTTTACCGAGCTCTACTTTTAAGAACACACAAACCTTGTCATATTTTTCTTTGCTTGGCCCTGTATTTCTGCTAAAAGTTTTGTTTTCTGAAGAGCAGGACCGGCCGTGTTTACTCATTTACTTATTTAATGTTTCACAGAAATCAGTTACTTTGTTTAATAAGCCGAACACATGCAAGATAATTATTTTCAAGCATTACCTAAGGTAAATGTTTAAAGAATCCCAAAATAGAATTAGTTCAAACAGTGGATTTACCTACCAATATATGCTGTGAGATATTTATTTATTTAAACACTGAGCTTAATGAAGGAGTTAGTTCTTCATCCCCATGTCTAGTTCATCGAAGCCCCTTTAAATATGTATGAAGTTTCCCATCTCGCTTTTGTTTATTTAATAGATCCTTGGCTAAGAGACAACAACAGAATTTCATTGAGAGAAAAGCCCTTTATGGAAAGAATGAAATAAAATATTTTTTCCAATGTAAGTTCCCTTTTTCCCAATATGTTATTCAAATTAGCTAGGTAGCTTACCCTGACCTGCCGTACCTGTTTTCATAGGCCTTGCAGTGAGAAGGGGCCATTGGCCATTTCTCTCGCAAGGAACTGGATTTTATCAAAACATTTTAGCATCAGCTTGAAGGTGACTTTCCAAAGCTTAGTGACGAAAGTCAAGCTTTAGTATGCTATAAAAAATAGTACTAATCCTGATATAAAAAATAGTACTAGTCCTATCTAATTCCTAGAGACCATTTGATAAATGAGCAATTGCTGAACATAATCTCTGAGTGGACAGGCACAAAAGCTCAGTTTTCAAACTACAGCACACCTAAGGTCACAAAACTGGATCCCCAAATTTAAAGAGCAGCAGTTTGAATCCACCCTAAAAGATCATAAAGAATTAACCAGGACTGCTCAGTACACTAAGAAAAAGGAAGCAAATAGGAAATGAGGTCGCTGTGAAACAATGTACTGCATCAAAAGCCTTTCCCTATTACAGAGGTAGAGAAACACGGGGTAGTAATGGAACTGAGAATTTCATCTGCTTAGATGCCTGCGGCAGAAGACTGATTATGAACATTCACTTTATCAACTGTGCTAAGCTGTACGGCACATCTATGCCTTTTTTTTTTGGAGGGAGTGGAACTTGGGTCCTTGTGCTTGCGAGGCAGACCGACATCTATGCCTTTTGATAAAAAAAGGTTGTAGAAAGTAGTAGGTCCACACATGCAGAGACAAATCCACAGGCAGATTAGTAATACTGCAAAAGCATGCCACTGAGAGTCCAACCTGTGATTCCAAATGGTTCGTCTAGGTTCATTCTCAGAAACAGAAACATCATTTGGGGGCACGACATGAACAAAACCAAAGTGAAAAAACAAGATGGTAGCGAACCCAAATTAGTGTATTAAACAAGGAATAAAACGGCAGAGGAAATTTTGTTTATGCCACTTCCTAAGCAGAGATTAATTAGGTTTTATACCATTGTTTGAGTCAACAAACAAAGTCTGTCATGTCTGCATCTTAATTAGAGCCTTCGATTTCAAACCTTCCCATCTTTTTCAGTGAAGACTGTCACTTCAGAACTGGTACTTTTCCTAAGGACGTCATCTGGGACTGAGGGTCATCACTTTATGTCACATTTTGCAAACTCCTTCCCTTTTCCACTAAGTGCTAAGAACAGATTCTCCAAAATACATAAGAAAGCCTGGAAATAACCAAACGTCTGCCATCACGGGTTGGATAGATTGAGTGGAGGACAGTGTATCCATAAAAATGAATGAGGTGCTTCTCCTACTACTAAGATAAGATTTTTCAGAATATACAAAGTCAAAAAATAAACAAACAGAATCAAGGTTAGGAAAGTGTATAAAGTAGGCTACCATTTATATAAGAACTGAAGGATAAGTGACAGTATTAAAATAAGTTTGCCTCCAAGAGGAGGGGTCAACTAAAGCACTTGCTCAAAAAAAAAAAAGATAAATTTTAAATATACCTTATTTCTAGATTTGACTTTTGGATCATATAAATATCTTACACAGCAGGCAGGAGGATCGCTGTGAGTTCAAGACCAGCCTGGGCTACATAGTGAGTTCCAGGTCAGTCTCAACTACATAAGTGAGACCCTGACTCAAAAAACAACAAAAAAAAATCTTACACAATTATAATACAAAATGATATTTCAAAAAATAAATCTGTAAAAACTGAAGGTAGAAGGAAAACCAAACATTAACCCAATCCGCTGTGCAGCTGTTGACTTCACCACACTATAGCACAATCACTCTAATATATAAAATCTCTGTTGGGTACAATTCAAAGACATAAACAACTGAAGGAAAATAATTTTCAGTTATTGTCTAGTGTTCTTGCTGATGGTCACGTTAACATCGTTATTCTAAGAATGCTGCATATGGATGTAGGATAAAGCAAAGAAGGGTTTTGTGACATTCTAAATATATCACCACAGTGCTGTGCATGCAAGGAAGAAGAAACAGCTATGCTTCTGTCTTCTGAAAAGCCTTGGAAGGGATTCCCAGCCCAGAGCACTGAACACATCTACTGTCTTCATCATAGGCAAAGAGGTATCTCTACTAACCAGAACCAGCAACTGTGACAAAACAATAAAATTTTAGTACTGGAATGGAAAACAGATAATCCTGGGAAATTTTATCCACACCACATCAAATATGTATGAATCCAGGAGTTACAGTGATATTTTTTATAAAATAAATGCAATCAATTAACTGATCACTATTTAAAGATGCAAAGGAACCAGTAAAAAAAAAAAAAAGTTTTTGAGAACTGATAAATAAATGGGAAAATTTCTAGCAAGATTTTTCTTAAAAATAAAATATCTAAATTAATAAATGAAAAGAGAAGTAAATATTAGATCATGTGCAAACATTAATAAACTTATGAATTCTGGTATTGATCCAAAGCAGTTGTTTCTTTCACCAAAAAATGTAACTAGATTCTTGAATCTGCTGAAACAGAACACATGATCACATGATCTCGACAAAGAAAACAGACGCTGTACCCGGTACACCTGAAGGCAGAAAATGTTGGATTACACCACAGGGAGCAACTCAGTCTGGGGAAGAAATTCTCTACACTTCAATAACCAGGTCTCTTCAACAAATGGAGTTTGAGGGAGGGAGAGACAAAAGGACAGAAGGAAAGACAGAAGTGCCAACACAGAGGGAGGAAGAGGAAGAAAGAAGGAAAAGAGGCAGGGGGAAAAGAGGAGGACAAAGATAGGGACAGAGGGACAAGAGTTTCAGAGGAACAGAAGGGTGAAGGGAAGGAAATAGAGGCAGATACAAAGAAGGAAGGACATTAAGACTCTTCGAAGACAACCAGTTTCAATGCACGAAGCCTGTTTAGGTCCCGACTCCCAAACTGTCCAAAAATGTCATGAATTTTGTGATACATCATTTGAAATTTTAACACTGACCAGGTACTTAAAATTTAGAGTCACAAAGTATAACAATGGTAACACCAACAGTGTGTTTTGAAATCCTTTTTTAGCAACACAAGTATTTACAGATGAAATGTTATTTGGAGATGTGTCTTGAGATATCACAGAATAGGACACAGATGGGTCAGGATTGGTTTAACGAATGTTGGGCTGGGTGACAAGTACTCGTGGTTTCATTGTATTATTCTGTTTTCATTTTGTACGCGTGAAATCCTGAGGGTCCTTTTGAAATAGAAGGTATTCAGTAGCAATGAGAATATTCTATACACAGAGCTTAGGCTCTAAGTGACAAAATGCTACTAAAAGTCACGGCTGCTGTTGAGTCTGAGAAAAGGACAAAGTGGCCTTTTGTCCCTCACACGGGGCACTGAAGGAGAATGAGGTGGTGACATCAGAACGAACCCAGAACCAGCTCGAAGGGGCTTCCATGGCTGCAGGCTATGTCAACAACGTCAAAGAAAAATGATGACGATTTATAAAACCCTGAGTGGAAAGAATAAAGCCACCAGCTTGGAGTGGTATTTGAAAACAATACCCCCTCCCCACAAAAAATACACAAAAACAGAAAAGGGAGGGAAAGCAATCACTACAGAAGACAGCCAACCAACAAATGCAGAGGAAAAACAGAATTAGAAAACCACTGTTTTCAAATATCTGTTTCATGAGTTTCAGGGACAACTACAAAGGATGGAGACTCCATCGCGCAAGGGTTATTATGTTATTCAGCTGGTTTCAAGGACCACAGACAAGCAGTACGTGCACGTGCAGAAGGTGTCTTCTCGGTGAGTCCTAGCGGACGTCCCTTTGACCCAGTCGGTGACCGAATGCCCATCACCAACAGTGACTACCTGATGCCACGCAGTGACTCTGCAGCGGGCAGCAGAAGCACAAACACCCGGTAAGCAACGAATGGGCTAGAAATGTTTAACTGGAGCCCAGTTACAAGGAAACAACCAGACAAAGTCAGAAAATTGATCTACATTTTCAAAAATGTTAAGGGAAAAATGGAAGCAATTCAAGAAAAACAGATGAACAATGCACAGAGGAGAGAGAAGCCATAAAGGACCATCATAGGACAACTAGGAAAATTCTCACACGATCACCTGTTTAATAATAGACCGATCACCTTAGTGTTCAGTTTCTTAAGTATTATAAACATTCTCTGGGTCTTTGCTTTTTGTTGTTGTTGTTTTCTTCTTTGAGACAGAGTCTCGCTGTATAGTCCAGGCTGGCCTTGAACTCCTGACAATCCTCCTGCCTCAGCCTCCCAAGTGATGGGATTATAGGTACACACTACTGGTCAATTTCTTAAGTATAGTAAACTCTTTTGTTTTGTATACCCTGATAATCTCAAAACCAAAAGTGAGTGCACGTCACACAGCAGATCATACAGACAGGTAGATATAGAAAGAGAAAGGGAAGATTATAAAATATTAATAACTGCTGAGTCAGTCACCGAAGGCCATACAGTGCCTGTTAGGCTATGGGTTGCATGTCTGTGTGGGCTCCACATTTTCACAATAAAAAGCTGATGAAAAGAAACGCGCAGATTCTACCTGCAGCGTCTGAACTGTGCATACATACAGGAAAAGAGGCACTGCTGTCTTTCGTCTTCCAGGTCCTGTCCTGAGAGCTGTCTTTCTGACTGACGGCTTGTTCAGCAAATGACACCTCCAGGTTGATGTCTGTCACAGAGGCGGGCGTCTCCTCGGGCATGGGCAGGATCAGCTCCTTATCACCAACAACGAGGCGTGAAGAAGCCTGGTCTGGGAGGAAAAAGACCCAAGACCCAATTCATACGCTTGCTCAGCGTGTTGGGTTCTAAAGCATCAGCTACATGAAAACCTTTGGGAAGAGCTCCATGGTCTCCAGGCAGTACTTAACTGTTACTTAGGAACATACTCGAGGAATCCTACCAAGGGTGAATAGGAAGGCAGCTAATGCTTTGACTGTGGAATCTTCCTTGAGGTCACAGTTCTTAGACTGAGTCCAAATCCAAAGCATGCCGAAAGCTATCACACTGTTACAGGAAAACCTCAAAATATTTACTACAAACAACTGGGCTTTTTTCCTACACTGAGGACTTAAAAGGGAAGGAGAGGTGAGATTAGTTGTAATCTCTTTTCGAACTAACAACATACCTCGTCATCTTCTCATAGTAGAACAGATTCCTGGAAAATATCTCCTTCTACCCTGTTATCTATCTATCACAGTAAATATTTCAAAATAAAAAGTTAATGCCAAAAATATGTCATCATGGAAGTCAGGTCTCCAGGTGCCAGGTGCAGGAACCACCCACGCTTATACCTGATTCTATCAAAGAGCACAAAAGTTCACACAGATACAAAGACCAGTCAAATAAGCTTCAGATGTTTTATCAACATTTCAAGGATATACAATGGAGTAGGTTTCACTTTCTTTTGGCTTTTTTTAAAATTCATTTTTTTTGGTCAATTTGTCAGGAAAGAAATAACATTCAAACACCTCATTGACAAAAATACCAGCTCTGTGCCTTGGTAAAAATACTTCTAACTTTGACTGTTTGGCAGCTTTTTGGTTTTAATGTGACTCTCACTGCAAAAACTCTGGCACCAATGACAGATTCCTGCTATTGCAGACATTTTGATTCATGGTAAAAATCTCTAAATTTAAAAAATGGACGTACACTGCTCATTGGCATACTCACGTGCTCCAGGAGAGACACAATAACGTGATTGAAGGCAAAGTTAATCTAAACATTTAATGAATATGTGCCATGTTCATAGTCTACTGTTTGGAAAATCTATTTATACTCACTTAATCTATAAAGAAAAACCCTGTTCTAATCAAAATAAAATTAGGGTACAAGTCTAAATCTAGTCATACTAATTCTCATTAAAAAGCAGGTTGTGTGGTCTATGCAGCCACAGGCTCTGAGCTCAGCAGGGCCTGGCCTGGCCTGGCCTGGCCTAATTCTCCACAGCCGCCATCTTGAAAGCTCAGCCAGATGTTGACATTTCGGTTTGGTCCAGCTGGCCCTCATGACATCTCACAACCGAGAAAGGAAACGTGGGCCCACTCTGTTCCCAAATGAAGAATAAAACTCCTAGATAGTATTTGTATTACCTGCTGCCATCTATGTTTTCAACAGCAGACATGTTCTGAAAATGAGAATATGTACTATGATTGATTTTTTTAAACATACTAACATAAACGTCAAAGCCTGTCTTATTTTCCCATTCATTCATGCTGTTTTAAGATTTACTATGAATCTGTACATTGGTTTCCTAGGAAACCATTCTAAGAGAGGAAAATGATTAGACATTTTCTTCAATGAAATACTACCTTTAAGCAGTTGAAAGTTTGCCGACAAGAATTTAAAAAGTAGTCTCCTCAAAACTCCATGCCAGAATTACAACGATCATTCTCCCTAACACCCACCCAAATAAATGGGCTGCGCAGATTTGAAAGCTTAGTAATTATAATTACATTAGGACACTTTAAGATATAGGAGCTTCTTCAGAAATATGGCAGAAATAAAAAGAACATTATAGAAAAAGCCTCAGTTCAAATGCTAAGTGCAGTCAAGGCAGAGATTAGGGAAAATCGTTCCCAAGGCAATGGGAGAAACAGTGCTATTCTGAGAAATGGACAGTTAATGAGCCAACAAGAGTGATGAATTAATGATCATCGGAGGGAAAACTTAAAAGAGAATGCTAAAGTATGCTGTTCTACTCTCAACGTCTTCCAGTGTCAGTATTATTATTTCCTTCATCTGTTTTCCTTTGTTTTAAAATGAACATCAGGTTTCAGGTATTTTACAAATCCCCCAAGTTTTATAACTGTCCCAAATACCCAAAAACGTGTTTGTTTTTAAAAGGTTTGTTCTTCTCCCATTGAAATCAGACACAGACAGGCAGGCCGCAGGCCGGCAGGCATATCAATGTAAAAGTTTACTTGTTTTGGCCTTTCTAAGCATTTCTAAGCAGCTCTATTAAACCCTGGGCCTTCCAGAGACAGAGCCGGGTGATTTGACACACAGGAAGATGGGCACATACTTGGGGGAGCCATTGTAAATGTGACAACACTTGCAATATTCAGACCTTACAACTTTTTAATTTGGGAGAAGTATTGTTGTCTGAACATGTTTGAAAATCCACAAGCGGGGAAGACATTTAAAACACACCGTTGCTGGGCGTAGTGGTGCACGCCTGTAATCCCAGCACTCGGGAGGCTGAGGCAGGAGGATCACTGTGAGTTTGAGGCCAGCCTGGGCTACATAGTGAGTTCCAGGGCAGTCTCAACTACATAGTGAGACCCTGTCTCAAAAAACCAAAAAAATTTTAAAAACAAATAAAAATAAATAAAACACACTGTCACCCATGCCTTCTGATTTAAGGCAGAACAGCCCCACTCTGGAAGCGCAAAGGACTTTCCCACGGGTCTCCTGGCAAACCCGCCCATATCTGCATAAAGCTGTAGGCTCCCCTCCAACGCTGGCGGAACCCGCCCTCCTCTCATTCTAATTGGACGCTCTTAGCCCCCAGCAAAGCAGATTAAACTAAGCAGCAAGGTTGTCCCGCTGCCTTGTCTGCTGCCGTGCGGGGGCTGGAAAGCGCACACGTAATGAACTTGTTTTCCAGAACTTTCGCTGACGCCATCTACATTATTCTCGCTGGCAAGGGACAAAGGTGCGAAGAAAGGTCAGTGTTTTCTCGGAATCCATTAAACAACTGCTGCGGACTCTTCCCCAGAGCCTCAAGCAATTTGACCCTGGCACCAAAGGTCCGGCCAACCCCGGTCACTTTGTGAGCTGGGATACAGATTTGAGGGGCAGGGATTTTCTTCTGCTATAATCCGTGGAGCTACAGAAACTTTCACAGAAGAGTAGGCAAAATCAAATGCTTTCATTTCCCACACGTGGACAGTCCCCAAAATACAGAAAAGAGTAGACATGTCAGAGGTTCTAGGACTCTGAAGTTCTCCTCATACTCCAGAGCTAGTGCAGGATTTTCAATGGGAAGGTTGGAAACTTCCCAGGCCTCTAGTTTACCTGATATCCGTCTCCCACTCCCAAACCAAATATTAATGGCAAGAATGCCCAAGATGCTGAAATTTAAGAAGACTTTTGTTAGAGTCTGTTAAATAATAATTAAGGGCTAAGTTATTAAGCTTAAATCAATGACCTTAATTTAGAACAGTTTTTCTTTACGTAAACAAATAAAACAGCTATTTTTAAAGTACTAATAGAGTCTTAACATTTATTTTCTTCCCCGCCTTGAATTTCCAATTTATTTTGGAAACAGATATTCAAAAAAAAGAATGAAAAAAATGGTAATCAACTGCCCCCCCAAAATATTAATTTTCTTAAGTTTCTCTAAAATTTTTGAAAATTAATCCATGAATTTGAGAAGCTTCCAATTCCCAGCTTGCACTCTCTAGCTGTATGATCTTGGAATGATGATTTTACACTTCTAGAACTCAGCTGTCTTTTGTGCAGAATGGTTGAAGCCCAGTACCTACCATGTACCTACCAGACCTCCATGTAATGCCCGGAACGCAATAATCTAACTGCTCAGGATGCTACATAAATGGGTTTATGGCCCTGTAGGAAGCCATGTGGTGGTTATGGGTCGCTGCATGGTATCCGGTAGTCGCACTGGATCAGCAACTTGGCAAAAGAGATGTTCACTCGGCCTCATTGCAAAGGTACCTTTTCATATATGCTAAAAGCCAAAGGCTTTCAGCTCCATGTAACACATTTGGGAGCTTACATTATTATCTTAACAGAATGTGCTTACTAGATTTAAAGGTGTCTTAACAAGTTGTAACTGTTTATTACACTACTTAAAGGTGGGGGGCAAGTCCAACATACCGTCTTTTTCTTGGTGTTTGTTTTCATTTGTTCCGACTGACCGAAATTCAGTGCCATCTGGAGCCTAAACACAGAAAATGAGCCATGTAGTCCAAAAACGAGACACTTAGTCATCTCCAAGTCACAGCCTGAGGAAATGGTACTGGAAATCGTTTCATTACTAACCTTTAGAGTACAAAAAATGTGCTCCGACTTACAACATTCGCAGTGGGAAAAGAAACGACTATGGTTCTACCAGCAAGCAAGCTAATGTGTGGTGACCAGAACTGTGAGAGCTCTGTGAAGGTTAAGTCCCTGTCATCATCTACCTTGGTGAGGGGAACAGAAAGCATGTGAACAGCTAGTCATATCGAGCAAGTGATGGAGGGACAGAAGGTGGCTTATCTAGACAACATGATGTTATTTAGCAATAAAACACAAAATGCTGATATGTGTTTCAACATGGGTGAACCTCTTGAAGCCATTGTGCTAACTGAAAGGAGCTGGTCACCATGCTGTGATTCCACATATTTTATGCTTTAACTAGATGGAACTCCCAGAAGAGGCAAATCAGCCACAGAAAGTAGGTTAGTGGTTGCCCACATGTCAGGAGTGGAACATGGGGATGGCTGCCTACTGTTATGATGGATGAAGAAAGTGTGTCCAAGTTTTAGCTATTAAAAAACTGTGCTGCTATAACTTGGAAACAGCCCAACTGCCCATCAGTTGGAGAATGGATAAAGATGTGGTTTTTCTATAAAATGGAGTACTACTCAGCCATAAAGAATGAGAAACTAAGCCAGGTGTGGTGGTGCACACCTGCAATGCCAGCACTTGGGAGGCTGAGGCAGGAGGATTGCTGTGAGTTCAAGAGCAGCCTGGGGTACATAGTGAGTTCCAGGGCAGTCTCAACTACATAGTGAGACCCTGTCTCAAAAAAAAAAAAAAAAAAAAAAAAGAATGAGAAACTAGAGTCATTCATAGGAAAATGGATGCATATTGAGGCCACACTAAGTGAAATAAATAGGACACACGTGGAAATACCAAAGAGTGTCTCTGGCATGAAAAACCAAAAGTGTAAATAAGATCCAAATTGTATAACTGACAAAGTGAAATAGGAAGAAAAGGGCTAAAGGTATAGGGGAAGTGGGAAGGGTAGGGGAAAGGAAATAAGGGACAAGAAAAAGTATGAGAAAAGGAAAGAAATGGAAACAAAGTCTTTGTAAATAGGGGAGGGGGAGGGGGTGAAGGGAGCGCAGGGGAATGGGGAATAAAATGAGAACCAAGACCTGTCACGTAGAGGTACAGGATCCCAATGAAGAATGTGACTGTGCTGTATCCCTAGAATGGACCAATAAACTCAGGGAGGAAAAACGTGTCACCACTGCTTGTGGGAGTGCGGGAAAATGGGACCAACTAAACTCACCAAGTTGTACATTTTCACGGGATTAACCTACAGGTTATGTCTCAGTAATGCTACGATGGGACACAAAATTACGAAGCTGAATTATTTACCAGCTGAAGATAGAAATTCTTTTGCAAAAAAGCAAGTAATAAATATGAGATTAAATTAGAAGTAAATCAGCCAATTGATATTCAGGCCTAGAGCATTCAGTGGAATTCCTCTTGGCAAGGGACTGGGGCAGTGACACCTGAGACTTGTGACTCTCCAGGGTTCATGAACTTGGGACAGCACGGCTGGCTCTGCCTACCAGCTAATGTGGTCAGACTGGCTTCCTCCTTTCCTACAAGGCCACACCAATGGGCCTGACTGAGTCAATTATTTTTAAAATAATCATTCTATCGGATTCCATCTCCCCAGATCAAAAGTGGCCACTGTAGGGCCACTCTAAATATCAGCCACAAAGGACTCCCCGCTCCATTTGTGAGCTACAGAAATCCCCAGAGCAGGGACTTACACATCAATAATGTCCTCCTTAGATGCACAGCGTGCCCAGGAGTGGAACAGGGAGTCCCAGACCCAGAAGTGGCGCGCGGGCTCACCGCACCGCTGCAGGACTGGGCAATGCATTCTCCTTCGTGCATCCACACTCGGGAGAGCTGCCCTCGCAGCACAGCACGCACAGCGGGATGCTAATCTCACATGGAAACCCATGGTTGGGATACATGGCCTCGCTGTTTGCCTCAGTGACTGAAGACGGCAGGACAGATGGCATTCATTTCTGTAGTCCATCTCCTGATGTCAGCAAGGGCTTCGTGAGAAAGCACTGAAATGGTAGCGCTGACTACAGGCTTACTCGAGAAAAGGCCTGCAAGTCAAGGCAGCTGGGCCGAGTTTGCTAGAGGGACGGACCTGGGATGGAAACCGAATGTCTAATGGGCAGCAGTGTTTCAGTTAGAGGCGCGCGGAGTGAGCCAGGCAACATTATTTTAATCTGCTTGCGCTATTTCTTAATGAGTCCATCAGATGATTCAATGCACCAATCACCTTGGACTCAAAACCATAGGGTTTAGACATTACCAGGAATTTGCTGGAAAGTGCTGCTCCTCACACCAGGTAGCAACAGCCTGCTGAAGACTGGCAGGAACCCCACCGTTCATGCTTTGCTTAGGCTCAGCTCTCTGCCTCCTCCCCCTCTTTACTTCCTTTGAGCTCCCTTAGGGAGGGCTCTTTAATTGGGGAGGAAATATAATATTGTATTTCCTTTCCATTCATTTTTCTACAGCTGGAAACGTGGTTCAGTCCCTCGACAACAGTGAGTGTATCAAATAACCGCTGGATGATAAGTCCTTGACTCAGACAAGGGCCTGGAACAATCTGGTGACCTCAGAATTGCCATAAAAAGACTGGATTGGATCCACAACTGGCCATGCAAATTGAGTCACAATCTGCAGCTAGAAAAGACTTCTTGAAAGAATGAAACATCTACCAAAAGCAAAAATCCTCCACGCGAGAGACAGATACTTTAAATATCAGCCCTTCTACTCTATGTTTGCATGAAGAATCGTATTTATTACTCATTATAGTATAAATAGAATCTCATTCAGAATGTATAATTATCAGAATCACATATGGAAATGAAAATACAGCAGGATAAAACAGTTAAAAGCATGTACTTTGGAGTCAGACCAATTTGAGCCCAGGGTCTATGGGACATTGGGAAAATTACTGAAAATCTATGAGCCTCAGCCTTAAAATGGAAACGTAGTAATACTTCACTCATAAGCCAGCTGGAGGGAAGAAACAAGACCAAGCCAGTAAAGCAGTCAACTTCTGGGGACGGTCATTGGGGACTGTCACTGTCACCACTGCATTCACTGCTCAAGAATCCCTCTGCTTCTCCAGTGGGTCTTCTGGGCCACAGCTACCAGGGCCAAAATTTAAACCCACTGGGACCTTGGGTCAGCTGACTTTGTCTTTTTCATAAGCAAGGCTGTCTTGATGAAAGAGAGTAACAGCCGACACTGTGCAAATTCCTGACTTCCTCGTGAATGAACAATACGAACACAGGAGCCACCCACTTTGAGCAGCAGTGTGTGGGCACACAGGTAGGTCCGATACCATTCCAGCTGCCTCGACACCTCTTGCCCAGGCTCTACCAGACCCCAGTGTCTCCCGTTAACATGCTCACCATCTGGACAAGAACTCACTCAAGATGTATGTATGCCAAGTACGGTGCTTAAGCACTAGACCAGAGGGGATTTTATTTCACATCTCAGGATCCCTGCTTTCTGACTCAGCTGCCATTAGCTCTCTCCGTAGCCTTAGCTACTTCCTCCCCACCTCGGGTCTGAAAAATCAAATACTCCTACAAGCATTAAGAGATAAGGAAGTATCTAGTACTTCCTCCCTTCCTATCATTAACAACTGGTAGTCAGGAGGTCTGGGAAACCTTCCCTGGTTCTCCTAGCACTCTAAGGGCACCATCTGCCCCAATGGGATTATCACACCAAATTTTTATTTGCCAGCATTTTGCTCCATTGGTACAACCTCTAGAAAGGCAGGGATCAAGACCTGTTCCTCACTATCACATGGGTGCCCATTAAGTTTGTAATTATTTGAATTACACTAGGTGGGTCTAAGTGAGTCTCAGTAGTTAATCCTTTGCCTTCATGGTGGTAAAGAAAGCTTACTTTTTCTTTTGATTCCGTCTGTTGAGCAAATATGTCTCTGACGTCAGGAATGTGGTGCTGTTTGTTTTTCTTCCTCAGTGTCTGGGAAACCGTCTCTACCCGCTTCTGGACAGCTGCTGCCTGGGTGCGTGTCAGAGTGGACAGAAACACCATGCTTTCCTGGGGATCCTCCGTGGACTCTCCAAACAGATTGGACAAGCCAGCCTCTTTGAGCCACTCTTCTTCCAATTCGCCCTCTGAAACAATAGGGGGGAGAAATCAGTTTTGTTCCTGAAACCGATCTATTGTCACCAAACTGTGGTGCTGAAAATCATTCCCTGAATCTTGGACAGCTGCCACTCTGGCCACAGTGGTATCAAGCTGTGGCGATTTCATATGTACTCAGTTACAGATCTTTAAATGACTTTACATGTAATGAACCTCCACCACCTCCCTGCAGATTCACCATGGAGGTCGAGATGGTTACCCTCCCAAGACCAGCAAGCTGTGAAGAGATAAGTTGCTTCCATTAGTTGCAGAAGGAAATCAGACCGGGGGATATAGATTCCAGGCTGGCATCTTAGTTTACATTCAGTGTTCTCCCGGGTCCAGCACCCACTGACGAGAAGGCCTATCTCTCTTTTCACTGTGGCTGACAAGGAGCAGGGGAAAGTGATGGGCAGCAACTGGCCATTGAAAATCATTCAATTTCAAATAAATTTTTCGAATCCTGCAGTCAGCACAACGAGTCATGTTATTTTTTTACAAATTAAAAAAGCACCCTATTTTCAACAAAAAGGAGGTGATACAAGAAAATAATGAAATAACTGAATCCGCCCAAACACTGAGACTACGATGTAAACAGTGATTACAGGTCAGACCAACCGCATCCCCAGGCTTGTGTCTGATGTTTTAACCCAACAGACTGAAAACATTCTTTAAAACACTGCATCTGTGCTGAGCACATGCAGATGCCATCATTAGTCCTGCAGTTACACAGAGTAACAACTGCTGCACATAGCACCGCCGCTGTTTAAGTGTCCAGAGATGATAAAGGACAAGAGAAGATATGAATAGGACACATGCAAATACTGTGCCATGCCACACAAGGGACTTGAGAAGCTGTGGATTTTGATGTCTTCAGGGTCTGAAACGAATCACCCATGACTATCAAGGGATGACTATGCTGTGTAAGATCTAGAGAAATTCGCAGAAAAGCAGGAGGATAACTAGATAGACGCACCCCCAGCATCATGTTTATGGCAGTGACTTGGGTTACAAAAGACCTGGGTCCATTCTGCAGCTCTGTGGCTGCGTCACTTGGGACGTGTCACTTCGACTCACCATGACTCCGCGCTCTCATCTGGGAGCTGTCAGCTCTGCCAGCTACCACATGACCACATGTGAGCACGGGACCGGGGAGAACTTCCCAGAGCACTGGGGTAGCCTGCGTCACACAGTGACACCGACTGTGTGCAGCGTGAGTCCTCCTCCACTCCACAACCCCCCTCGGGACAGAAGTCAGGTATTAATAACCCCGACTGCTAGTGTGGGCATTCATTTATTGACATCAAAGTAAGTCGACTATTATTATTATTAATGCTGTTCAGGTAGAACTCGGTACAGATATATAAAACCAAGTTGCCAGAAAAAAAAAAATAATAGCCGGCATTGCTATGACAAGAAGAACAAGAGCACCACAGAGCCATTTATTCCATTAGAACACACAGAAGGAAGCTCAAACAATGTACATTTTTTCTAAAGTTGCAGGCATGTAGAAATTCTGGCCACTCCCCCTGATGACCACATCATACACAATAATCTACACATCCGTTATAACTTCAGAGAATTATCAAGCAGCTACCAACACATTTCTACGCATCTGGGTGAGACGCTACTTTATTTTCCTAAGCAGGCCACTGCTATGCTGCTTCCATCTTGAAACACGGAGCCAGAAAGGCTGACAAACAATATTAATTATCACAAATTATCACAATATTAATTATCACTTCACAATTAATCTACTTGGGAATGAACGAGAAAGTTGACTAGTTTTCTTTCTACAAATCTAAGAAATGTTAAATTAAGGAAAAAGCCTTTTAAAATTAGTATTGGATTATTTTCTAAGCAATGTTGCAGCAGAGGAGAAAACCATATATAGATTTTTCTACTTAACTCTATCCTGTCCTTTAGTAAAGAAGTCACTCTGCAAATTTACAGATGGCACAGAAAGACAGCTAATATGACAGATGCCAAAACTGGGCATAAAAGTTTGGAAACTGCTTAAATTTAAGAGATTGAAGGGAATAGAAGGAAATTTAAGAAAAAAATAAATTATTACACATTCTTCCAAAATATTGAGTGTAACAGTGCATAGTGTGGAAAATACGGTTGGGAAGAGACTTGAGAAAAATTATGGGGCAAATATAAGAAAGCGGCTATGATAGAAATTAAAAATGCTCATGCCATCTTCCATAAAAAATCCTGTGAGTAAACGTTAGAAGATAGACGACCATAAATTAATAAATCAAAGATCAAAAAAGAAATCAAGTAGACCTCTAGAAAGACAGTATCACTTCAAAGTCAGGACCCTTCCATAAACATCTACATTTCCTGGAGACTGAACAACTATGTGGTGGGTATGTTATCAGAGGCAGTGTAGAGGACGTCAAAGATCAAGCTTAACTCTTCTGAATCTATGACACAGTTGGCTTAGCTTACAAGAGTCCAACCAAAGCTCCAAACTGGGAGAAATTACTCATGGCTCTTGCACTGGGCAACTGACACCCATAAATCTTCCCTTAACAATTTTCAAGTTGAAAGACAACTAGCGATATCATTTTTTGGTTGTTCTCCTCTTTCCTATGCATCAATTTTCCATAAACACATCCACCAACAATGACAGTTTTATTTAGTTATTACCATCAGGCTCTTTGACAACAACCGTCTCTTGATCTTGTCTGTTTTCACTAGATTTCTTGATATTTTCTAGTTCTGTCCAGTAGTCCTCCATAGATAGTTCGTCCAAGGAATCCTGGGAACTCGATCGATCCAGCGGAGGTTTCTCTGTCACTTTAGTGGTGCTTTCCTGGTTCATGGTGTACTGGCCATATCTGCAACTACCAATTCAAAAGAAAGCAAGGTTCATTTCAGTGCAAGAGGAAGAAGTGGCATGATTTTAAAAACAGAACACTGAGCTAGAGAATTGGGAAACTCCTTAAATTCTCACTAATAACACAAAGGAGAGACATACTTTGAAACTCTTTACCTTGGGACACTACTAATTATAATATGCTACAGAATGATGAGTCTCAAAAACTATGGTGAAGAACATATAGCAACACGGTAATGTACTTTTTCACTCTCTAGGAAATACAGAGGTGGTAGTCACATGTTCTTAAACTACTTTAAGAGTCATTTAAATCTGAAACTTTGTTCCTAAGAAAACAACAGTAAAAATACTGACTACAGGCTATTAATGAATTAAATTTGGAAGAGATTTTTTTTCCACTATTTAGTATATATATCATTTACATTTATAAACCAAATTCAGTCAACTCTTACATAGCGAGCACCTGTAACCAATGAATCGAATATTACTTGAATTCCCAATTTTGGAACTAACATATAAATAGAAGGATGACTTATTAAGTTTGTTGCTATATGTATCGATAATATTTAAATGAGGTTAAACACTCATTTATTGGCAATCTTTCAATTACTGGCAACAGTAGCTTGGGATTATTTCAAACACCTATCTTACATATTATCTATGAAAAAACAGGTAAAGTGAGTTGAGAGTATTTTGTGATTTCAAATAAACTATGTTTCTCTTTGTAATGCACATCTATTTTACTTTTAAAGTTGAATTAAAGGACTGTATAACAATTATATAGTAGAAATATTAATTTTTATTTTGTTATTTATAGATAGTTATTTATAGACAATTACTGAAAAGGGGAAATTTTTCTGCTATGGTGCCTTTTATTTCTATACAATATTTTTTAAAAAGTAAAATTTGAGTAGAAACAATACTTGGTGAAAAAGTGTTTTAATATTCTAAATTTGAATTGCTCTTTTATGTCCCAAGAAGGACTTCTAGGAAGTAATATCTTGTTAAATTAGTTTTACTTCCTGTACAACTTGAAAATAAAACAAATGAAATTCTTTACTAGTGTGTGAACAATCTCACACCTAAACTGGCCTTTCTCATAATTACTTAAAATACTACTATTTTAATATTACATGAGGGATAGGTCACTAAACTCGGGGCAAATCTACTGAGCAATGTAATTCCAAACTGGTTTGCTGGAAAAAGCCAAAGAGCCTGATCGCCTATTGCTGCAAATCCATACAATGTCACTGAGTGGTCAGCTGTAGCATATTACCAGGCCACTTTTATTTCCTTAAAGACGGTTCTCTCTGCCTTGCTCAAGCACTCTAGTGATGCTGTTTACATGAATGCATAAACAATCACTACCGTCTTTCCCCAGTAACAACCCTGGGTAGGGATGTGTGGATGTCAGGCCCAGGCCCACAAGAATAAATCTAAACTTGTCCGTGAGCCTCTTTCCTTGAGTTGAGTCTCCATTGTCCATTGTTTGCCTCCTCTGTCCCCCTTAATGTCGGGTACTTCCTTCCACCCGGCCCCCAGCATCCTGTTTACATCGCCTTATCCCACCCTGATCCCCTTGTCTGGCCCCAGTGGTCCCCATACAGCCAACATTTTCTTCACATGATTTTCACTTCTGATTCTTAAAATGTGAATGAGAAAGCTAACATTCTCCTAAAAGTGACTTTCAAATTTCTAGGAGAAGTAACGCAGTCTTGATTCACAGTCCTAACCCTTCCTTACCAGGATAGCTAAAACTAATTTATATCCTGTTTGCCAGATTCGTTTCTTGCTTATTTCACATCAAATTGTTAAATATATAGACTCCCTATCCTTGCTTTTGTTTTATGCCCTTTTTTCCCCCTTTTCTTTTTTAGTATAGTCCTGGGGATTGAACCCAGGGCTTTCATACTGAGCTACATGCGCAACACTCTATCCTTAAAACAAAAACAGAAACAAAACAAAAGCACTTTTCATTTGAGAGAGTCTCATTAGGTGTTATAGGCTGGGCTCAAACTTTTGATCCTCCTGCCTCATCCTCGCAGAATGATGGGGTTTATAGGTATGTGCCACTGTGCCTGGTTTTTAATGCTCCTTATAGTATAACGTTAGCTACCCTCAATTTGTTTCCAACCTCTGGTTCCAGTGACCTCCAAAGAAGGCCACAATGGCAGGGAACTGTATGAAGTATAATGTCCAATAATTTGGTGTATTTGCTCATGGGAAAGAGGTACAGTTGAACTAGAAATATACTGAGCCTTTCATTCCTGAGGGGATGTGTTTATTCTGGCCCAAATTTTCCATTAAGATAGCAAGGTTATTGAGTAACAGCATTGTTACACAACATAGACCTATATCAAGCCCTGCTTTCAAAATATGCATAAAGCAAAAATCTCATAGCTTAGTGCTGATGGACTGTCTCAATATTTTCACTTTAATAAGATTCAGAACTCAAACTCGGTTTACTGCGGCATGGGTTTCTTTCTTTCGGTTTACTGTGGCATGGGTTTCTTTCTTTTTATTCGCTGCCCTCCTTTAGGTGACAGGGAACTACTGCAAGAACGTATTTTCCATTTAAATATGTATTAGGAATGGAGTGTGGGGAGGAGGCATCAGACACTCAGTAGCCAACTCCCCCTCTTAGTTTCCCACCCATGTATTGTTTGTAAGCGAACATTCTTCCAGTGCCTAGCAATTAGCACGCTGTACAACTTCTTTCCTTCTTGGGATCTACTCTGCTCTGTACTTAAGCAATGGCAAAAAGTCTGGAACCTTCTTAAAACTGCCAGGGAACCGATTTCCTCTTTCCTGCTTTTAGGGCTATGTTATTTGATACCATGCTCATTCTCAAAATTGGGTTCAAAGCCATAAAGCAACATCTGCTGGATGTAATGAACTGCACAACAGAAACAGTGTACATTTCCAAAAGATCCACGCCGGCACAAAGCGCAGAAATAATCAAAAGAACATGGCTCATACCACAGCCAACTGCCCATTACCTCGCCTGACCTACTGGCAAGCAACTGTTCAGATTCTTTCCCCCTCTGCCCTCAGAATCCCGTGTGCTGATCCTCCCACGGCCACGCTTCCGGCACTCCCGTATTTCTCACCTCCTACAAGTGTAAGGACACAACCGGATATTCTGAAAGAAATCACCTGTGTTGCTCTACAAAGATCTGCTTTGGCTGCTGTCCAAGTCGTGCTCTTTCCAACACACCACAGAGCAATCACAGGTCTAACCATCATCTCCAGCAGACACTCACTTCACCCACCCTTGTGGATTTCTCCTTTTTCACCCTAGTATGTCCTTCATGCTACATGTTTTTTTTTTTTTTTTTTTTT